CAACTGTAGAAAAACAAGACATTTTTACCAAGATATTACACTATAATAACAGATTGATAATTGTGGTAAGTTTAAATCTAATGTTGAGGAAAATCATTAAGATCACAAAGGTAGAAAAAGACAATTCCTTCAAGGAGAAGTTAAAATAGGAAAAACACACACAGAATATCGGCATTGAGGTCATGACCTTCATGTTTCTTGCCTGCTGTGTCTTCTGGGACTCATGGGGAAAAACTGAGGGATGACACGCTAGTCCCCTGCATAAGCAGACCAGAATATGCCCGAAAGTGATTGGGGTGACCACAGGACTGGGGTCACCTGTTTCCTCCACCTCCAACTCCCACAAAAGGTATCCTGGCCATTTGGTTGAGGGGTGACTGCATAGAACCAAAAGGCCAAGGTCATAACTGCTAGCCCTTGGGGGTCCAACTAGCTTCATGCTGAGTGGAAATTACTCTATATACTGAAGAATCAGACAGCAAGGAAGGGCTGGTCCAACTCCATCCCTAACATCTGGAAAAAGGTCCCAGCAGAAACTGAGTGACCACTGATGTCCCTGTGTCCTAGAAAGGGAAGGAGGACTGACCATTCTTCCATCTAATGACCTCCAGAATGTGAACTCCGGCGCCATACCAGCTTGCAGGACTCTGGCAGGTGTCCTGTGACTCTCACCCCATCTCCCACAGTGTGAGCCATCAAGGCACATTTCTGTATGAAATGATGGGGAGGGTGCCTGCAGGCTCCAGCCAAACATTCTGGCCTTAATAGCACTAAGTTCACCAATCTCCAAATCCTACCTTTAAGGAGGTCCAGAGAGAGGAAGAAAGGATAAAACACGTCTACTTCTGAATAACAAGGCATCCTTCCGAAGCTGTGTGTCCAATCGAGAGGTCTCATACCTACTTTTCATTTAGCCCTGTTAGGGGAATGGCCCAGGCTGGTGACACAAAGTAGAACAAACACAAGGGCGGTGAGCAGCTCTCCTCAAACACAAAGCACCAATAGGAAAGGAAACAGCAGAAATGGGCATCTGATGCTGCAGGAGGGGTGGGAGGAGACATAAGGCAGAACTTTCTGAGAGAGTGCGTTTGATCAGAGTAAGCTTTGGGACTTCCATTCCTGGAATTAATTGTGTCTGTCCAGAAAGGTTCTGGGTGGGCCTTCTCAGAAGCTGGGGGATGCTCTGTGCCACCCAGGACCTGGTAGGAGAAATTGGATTTCATGGACTTGTGGTGCTAAGCATTCTCTCTGCTCCCTCAAGTTCCAAATTATTCCTAGGAGCTTTCCCCCATTCAACCAATGAGTTGTCTTAAAATGTGGACTCTCAAGGAACTCGCAAAGGAAATTAATCAAATGAGAAAGATAGACACAGACAGAGAAAAAAGAATGATGCACTTTGTTCTAGGTTCTGATTTTAAATCTGGCAGAAGGTGTGAAGGGCTGGCAGCTTGTTGGTAGTGGTATCAGTGGCAGCAGGCAGCTCCCGCCTGCCTTCGAGCATCAGGCCGGCAGCTGCTGTACTCTTAGGAGCTGGAAGGAGAGTGGGTGGCACTCAGGAGCTGAGGAAGAGATGCGCTATCCCACCAGGACAGGCGCTGGTGGATATTCCCGAAACCTCCACTAGGCCTTAGGTTAATGCGGACAAGATGCCAAACCACTACTCCAAGCCCACATGTCTTTGAGGCTGCAATTCCACGTCTTCCATCCCACGTGGGCATCTGAATTGATATGACTCCTCTGATTAAACCTGTCTAAAACCAGGGCCTCCCTAGTGGTGCAAGGGGTTATGAAGCAATCCGCACCCTCTGCAGCATCCGAGTTCAATCCCCTGCCTGCCAGGGAGCAACCCACATGGCACAGCAGACCTCTCCTGACTCACCCGCTGCTCCCCTCAGCAGTATATATCAGTCAATCTGCCTGTTCTGCCCCCTACTCTGTCTCTGGTGAATCCTCTCAACCCCACATCCTGGCCTGTACCCCAGCTCTTGTATGCATAAATAAATAAATCTTTCAAAAAAAAAAAACCTGTCTAAAAACAAAACCACGGGCTTCCTTCATGGCGCAAGGGATTAAGATGCAGTACTATGAAGCTAGCCTCAGCCACTGCAGCAAAGTTTGATCCCCAGCCGGGAGGTAACCCACATGGCACAGCAGACCTCTCCTGACTCGCCCACTGCTCCCCTCAGCAGTGTATTTCAGTACATCTGCCTGTTCTGCCTGTTCTGTCTCTGGTGGATCCTCTCACCCTCTGCATGTCTGGCCTGCACCCCAGCCATGCATAAAATAAAATAAATCTTAAAAAAAATTTAAAAAAAAAAGGAAATAAAACCAATACCACATCCTCACCCTGACTTTTCTTCCTCGATTCAGAATCTCAGAGCCATACACATAGTTCACTGCATCTATTCAGGTCTAGTAAGATCCATCGCCAGGTCCCTCTCTTCCTTTCCATTCTTTTTGTCATCTTCCAAGTCAAAATGCCTGTGTTCATTCACCGTAGCAGGATCCTGGCTAGTTTCTCTCATCCCTGAAGTCCAGCTCACCCCTATCCCACCATCACACAGAGCTTCCCAATGCATTGCTTGGCTCCTGTAACAAACCTGCTAAAAAAAACTTTCAAAGTCTTCACCGGCATTCAACATGACACTGTCTGGTCCAAGTCACTTTTTCAGCTTTATCTCCCTCTCCAAACCAACACATTCCCTCTGGTCCAATCAAATGGGTCTCTCAAAGTTGTACAGACTTCATGGCACAATCACTTATCCCAGGATCAAAGTACTCACTACTCCCCAACACTGGGACTTCTCTTGCCTCTTCTGCTTCATGTAACAAAAAGGGAAAAGAAACTACTTGACAGCACACAACCTGAGTACCAAGCAAAAGAGAGAATAATTTCCTTGCTGAAGGTCAAATGGCCATCTCCAGATTCAAAAGTTGGCATTCTCCATTCTATTCCGCACACCTAACTCTAGCATTACAAGCAATCACATACTATTTTCCATCTATAATGTCTCCATCCCTTGCTGCAAAATTAAATTAGAGTGAGCTTTCAAAAGAGTGTATTGTGAGTCACCCTGCAAAAAGGGCAGAGATTTGACTTCAGGGGTAGCCACGGATCTTTGATGGTGGAGGCAGAAAGAGAAGAGGGGATATTAACCCACCCCCAGGCCAATGGAGATCTCCTGTCATAGAAAGAAGGTTCCAGGCTTTCAATATGTATTGTCCATTTTCTACACGGCATACACCTGACTCTGGTGAAACGAAGTTGGGAGGAGGAGGAGAGGAGGCTCTCTCAGGGGAGCCCACTGCCTCCTTCTGAAACCTGGAGAGCAGCGGAGAACAGTGTCTTTCAGTCTCAGATGCACTAAGCCACGCCTCCACCCCACGTCACAGTCTCAGGAGTGCAGAGCTAGGGAAGCCCACGCAAGCAGGGAGACTGAGTGCAGGGAGGGCTGGAAGGAAGGGGGATTTAACTGCTCACATACCTGATCAAACAGGACTTTCCAGTGCTGGTAGAGAGGGAGACCATGCAGGAGAGGAGGATGAGGAGAGAAAGAAAGAAACACACTTATCACAGGCCTCTACAGTCCCCTCAAGTTCCTAACATATCTCCCAGCTGCTGCCCCAGATCAGGGACCCACCAGGAGACCAGGAAAAACCTGGAAAGAGCTGGTCATGACTGTGTGCCCAGTGAAGGGAGGGAATTCAGAAGAAGGGGTACCTTTCTTTTTGGGCCAGGCAGAGGGAGGGATGAGCAGAACAAGGTGATTTTCAACAATTAATAAATAAAGGTGTCCAGCTCTGTTCCGGGTCTCTGATAATGTCTGCTGCCTAAAGTTCACATCTGTGTCTACTCCCAGGCCTGGGAAAGCATGGCCAGGTGCATTTTCAACAGATCTGCTGCAGTGGTATCAACCTGCAGGGGGTCAGAGACCCTCTATTCATGAAAGCACCCCCTTGCAATAAGCACTAACATTTTGCCAGAAATTTGGGAGGAAGGGGCTTCCAAAGGCACTGAAAGGCACCCAGTCTCTCCCCTGGCTGAATCTAAGCGCTGGGGCTTTGGGGCCAGAACCACAGGAGGTAAAGGGGTGGGGAGACGTTATGCTCCCCCCACCCCAGCCTCCTACAGGCTTTCAGATTTAGGTTTGGTGGGTTGAGGGGCCTGGCACCGTTTCCACTCACCACCCTAAGAGAGGGACAGGGCAGGGCCTAAATTTTAACCTCTATTTGCAGGTTAACTCGGGAGCGAGCAGCTTAAGAAACTCCAGTTCCCAGGACCGCCCAGCGCCGGCTCCGCCGAAGGCTCCCAGGACGAGAGGGAGGGAGGAGACTGGAGCAGCAGATGGCAGGGAAGCCCTGTGGGGCAACTCCTCCCTTCCTTGCCCAGGCACCGTCGCTGGCACCGACGCTGTCTGGGACTCCAGAGCCCCCTTCTGGGGGCAAAGCCTCCCCCAGCACTCCCCTCGCCCCCACGGCCGGGCTGGGGCGCAGGGGCCAGCTTGAATCTCAATCAGCGTCGCGACAGAGCAGGTGCCGGGCGGGAGCCGACCCCGGAGCGGAGAAGGGGGTCGCCGCACCGGTCTGCGCGCCGGCTCGCGTGGACTCTGCGGCGCCCGCTGCTCCCCGGGCTTGGGGAGCCCGCAGGTCGCGAGTGGGAGGGGAGGGGGAGTCACTGCCGTGACGCGGCCGCCTCTGCGGGAAAACGCCGTGTCCCGGGCACTGCACCAGCCGCGGGGAGGGGGCTCTGGCGGCCGACGGGTCCCCGGCGCAGCGGCTGGAGCTGCGTCCCGCAGGGAAGCCGCGGGAGCCCGGGCGGGGGGTGGCGCGCGCGCGTTTCGGGGAGACCAGTCCCTCCGCCTTCTCCCGGGACACGGCCAATCCGGGGTGCTCCCGCGTCACCTTGAAACCTCCAAGTGGCCCCACGGGGGGCGGGCGGGGGCAGCTCTCCCCACAGTGCCCCCCAGAAAGTTTGCCCAGGCGGGGGAGGGGGCACTCACGTCCTCCGGCGCCGGCGGCGGCCGCTCCTCGGCCTCGGGCTCCAGCTCCTCGATGCGCTCCGCCTCGGCGCAGGCGGCCACTGCGGGACCCGGGCTGGGGTGCTCGCCCATGTCGAGGAAGGGGCCGGGGGGGCCGGCGGCTGCGGGGCTCGTCCCGGGGCGCCGGGCTAACTTTGCGCCGCGGCGGCCGCACCGCTCGGGGGGCTCTGAGAGCGCCGCGCCGCCTCCGCGCCAGCCCGGCCGCCCGCGCTCGCCCCCATGGCCCCGGCCCCCGCCTCGCGACCCCGGGACGCCCGGCCCCTCGGCAGCCAAACTTCTCCGCGCCCGCGGCCCGGCCGGCCGCCGCCTGCACCCCGGCCCCGCGCCCGGCTCCGAGGCGAGGCGCCCTTGGGCCGCCCCGACCCCGCCGCTCCCCGCGCTCCCTTCCCGCTTCCCGCGGCCCCCGCTCTGCGCCGGCGTCTCCTCCTCCCCGCGGACTCCTCGGGGGCGGCGCGCAGGCGGGGGCGGGGCTGCTCCCGGGGACCGCCGGCCCCCCCCCACTCCGGGCGCCTCCCCCCGGGCCGGAGCGGCCAGAGCGGCGCGGCGCGAGGAGGGGGAGGGCTGCGGCGGGGCCGGCGGGCAGAGCCGCTCCGTCCCCGGCCCTGTCACCACCGGCCTGCGCCCCGCGCCCGGGTCCGCCTCTCCGTGCAGGCCCGGGGTGCACAGCCCACTTCCCCGAGCCGCCGGGGTACGACCACTCGGAGGCGGCAGATGCCTGGAGGCTGGGGTGAGGTTTCACTAAGTTGGCCACGTGGGGGTTAACTGACTGGGGGTGAATTGGGGGCGAGATGCTGGCAGGAGGACGCGATTCCCCCACCCTTGGCAATTTAGAAACTGGAGAAATCAGCTAGCGAAACCTCGGACCCCCAATCCTGCATCTTTCCCCTCTGCACCCAGAGCTATCATGGTAGTGAGCGCCCTGGCTTCATCTGAGCAGGTTGACAAAGCCCAGGGAAGTGCCCCAACTGGGAGAGAGGCGGTAAAACAAGTAGGAATGAAGTTAAAGCAAAGGAATAGAGAAAAACCAAACCCCAGTGCTGTTTCCCAGCAGGAAAGCCCCTCCCCTGGAGATCTGTCTACCTAAGAAACTGTCTCCCAAGAGGAGGCTCTGCCTTTAAAATGATGGCTGTGATGGGCTGGGTCAGCTGCCCGGCTCCCCCAGGCAACTCGGGGACTCCGTGACCACGTCCTGCAGGCAGTCTCCAGCCCACACCAAGGTGGTCCCCTTTCACTCCTCTCCCCACCAGCTACCAGCTCACTCACTTGCCTTTTTGCCCCCTTCTCCCTATCAGAAACTGCGGCTCTTTTCCCCTGGTGAAAGCTGCAGTTAGTAAGAGGGATAGATGTGTTGATAAAATCTTTATAAAGCAAACACCTACCCTTAGCCCCCATCCGACCTGTGACCATCTCATCCGACAGACAGCTCCCTTGAAACACAGAGAAGGAAATTAACTCAGTTCTAATTAGGTGAGTTTGCTACAGACACCAATTTTCATCTTCCTTTCAGAATGTGTGATCATTTCAACTATTTTTGTTTCTCATCACCATCTCCCCCCGCCTCCCCTACTCTACTAACAAGTCAAGAATCTGCCAAGATTTCCTTGTAAATAAAACTGTCTGCATAGGGTGTGATTTTGAAAACAGCCTTCAGGGGACAGAGGAGAGGCTGATTTCTTTGTGGAAAGCCCAGAAGGATAAGAAGAGGCTGCTGGGGCCCCTGAGATCATTATCGCCTCCCCTCCCCCAACATCATTTAAGTGACCCTCCTGGGTGCTGGCTGTGTTACCCTTAGATGTTTGGGATTGAAAGAGTGGCCAGGAAGAGGGTAGTCCCAGGGGAATCAGGTGGCAGGAGGGGGCACTCCAGAAGGTTAACCACTTTGTCAAGATGCCCTCCAGAAACTGTTTATTTGGAGGTGACAGCTATCCAAGGGGGTATAGAAATGAAAAGGAGGGGGTTGTTGTGAGTCCAAAAAGATTTCCCGAAGGATATGGCCCCAGAACCAGGCAAACTGGGGAAGTTGAAGGGGGTTCATTCCAGCCAGTGGGAACAGCATGGACAAACTCCAGTAGGAGTTTGTGAAACAGTAGGGTATAGGAGGGGGAACTACAGGCAGTTTGGCAAGGCTGGAAATCAGAGCAAGGAACTCAATCTAAAGAATATAACCTGGAGGGGCCTCCCCAGTGGTGGCACAAGGGGTTATGTCTCAGCACTCTGAAGCTATCAGCAGCCCCTACAGCACCAGGGAGCTGACCCACATGGTACAGCTGCTCCCCTCAGCAGTATATTTCAGTAGATTCACCTGTTTTGCTCCCCACTCTGTCTCTTATAAATCCTCACACCGCCACCCCCAACACCTCTGGCCTACACCACAGCTCTTGTATGCATAAATATTTTTTTTTTTTTTTTTTTTTTTAAAGAATACAACCTAGAGAGGAGGGTTTCAGGGGCTGTGAGTTTCATGAGAAAAGAGGTTGCACTTTCCCCTGAGGACAATGGGGGAGTCATTGAAGAATTGTGTGCCACACAGTAATATTTAAAATTAATATTTTAATAGTCTTTAGTTTACAAGATAGAAGGAAGGGAGGTTGGCCTGCGCACAGGGAGTTGTGGGCCAAAGCAGCAGCAGCCAGAGGGAGGATCTGAAAAATATCCCAAAGCATCTTGTTCCTCTTTCTGTCCTAGGAACATTTCACCCCACCCTCACAGATGGGGTGACCAAAAGTCTTCTAGGAAAAAATTCCAGCCTCTAATGATCCTCCCTTCAGGAGACAGTCTCCCTTTTCCTGACCCCCGCTTAAAGTATAGCCATCTGGACTTGGAGATTGTTAGGATGAGTTGTGACATCAACATCCTTCTGAACCTGATGCCACACTCTCACCTTTTGCCCTCAGTGTTGCCTCGTGATGCCAGCCCCAGGTGAATCTGCAAATAGGTATAGTCCAGGGCCTCCCTGGTGGCACAGGGGTTAAGTCTCAGCACTATGAAGCTATCAGCAGCCACTGTAGCACTAGTTCGATTCCTGGCCAGGGTACTAACCCACATGGCGCAGCAGACCTCTCCTGCCTGGCCCGCTGCTCCCCTCAGCAGTGTATTTCAGTACATTTGCCTGTTCTGCTCTCCATTCTGTCTCTGGTGAATTGTCTTACCCCCAGCACCTCTGGCCTCCACCCCAGTTCTTGTATGCATAAATAAAAATAAATCTTAAAAAATTATAGGTATAGTCCATTCTCCAGCAGGCTGTGGGGCCTGGAGCCCGAGACCTGGAAGCCTCTAAGGGATGGGAGTGACCAGGCTATCGAATAGCTGTTGTCCTACTCCAACCTAAGACCACCTAAAGACTGGCATGCTCTGCGCTATGTTGAGGACAGAGGAGGGACTGGGCCTGGTGCCTACTCACGTTCACTGAATGGCTGCCATGGGTCAGGTACATGTAGAGGCCTTGAGCTGCCTTCAGAGCTCCCAGGACTAGTGGGAGCTCCCAGGACAGCAAACCATGACTAACTGGCACCTATATATATCCTTATTCTTCATTTTATAAGCACACCACATCCACAACCTCTGTAAAGCTCCTAATGAGACACTCTAAGTCAAAGCAGAAGAGCATGAGAGAGGAGTTCAAACTCCAAAGGTCAAACTCTCAGTTCAGAGGGGCAGCAGCCTGCTACTGGGATGTGCCTTGAACATAGGCAGCTTAGGGGTAGAGCATATACAGGGGTTTCTGGGAGGAGGGGGCTACTGTAGCAAAGACAGACAGGAAAGTCAGACCCGTGCTGGGAACAGAACAGCCAAGTGGGTGAACACAATGTGGGGATGGACATCCAGGTGGGTGAGAACTGCGTCCCCGAGTCACAAAGGTCCTTGCCTGTCAGTCTGAGGAGGTTGGGTCTTGATCAGTGGGAGAGGGAGAAGCTGTGAAGGCTTCTAACTGGAGCAGCATTTTAGGAAGATGAAGTTGGCAGCAGCTCAAGAGTGCAATTCAACTAATTCATTGGAGTGTCCATTATTTGCCAGACCCTGACCTAGGTGCTGAGAATACAAAGGGAATAAGACCCAGTCCCTGGCCTCCTGGGAGAAAATTAGATAATCCTCTCATTACAGCTCAGTGGGATAAAGGAGGTGGGAAGAGCAGTTTGGGGACTGAGCTTCTAAGATGAACCCACTGAGAGAGAGAGGGTTTGTTTTTATTTTTTAAAGATTTATTTTTATTTATTTATGCATACAAGACTGGTGTATAGGCCAGAGGTAGAGGGGATGAGAGGATTCACCAGGGACAAAGTGGGGAGCAGAACAGGCAGATCTGCCGAAATTCATAGCTGAGGGGAGCAGTGAGCCAGACAGGAGAGGTCTGCCATGCCGGTGGGTCAGCTCCCTGGCTGGGATAGAACTGATGCCGCAGTGGCTGCCAATAGCTTGATAGTGCTGACTTTAACCCCTGCGCCACCAGGGAGGCCTACGCTTGTTTTTTTTTTAAAGGATCTGATGTTCTGAACCATGGAGGTAGGGAGGCTGATAAAAGGGGCACAGGGCTGCCATTGGTGAGCCAGGAAAACCAGGAGGAACCACTGGGAGAGGAGGGGTGTGGGGAGCCGAGTTTGTTTGTGGACAACGTGAGCTAATGAGAAGCTAGGGAAGAAACATTAAGGGCTGTAATTACGGCTCAAAGCAAATGGCAGCACTGAGAAGGGGGGGTAAATGGGGTGACTTTTTCTCCAGAACGTCTCCCACTTGGGCCTCTTCTTCAGCAACAGTTTCCAATTCTGAGTTTTCCCAGGCCCACACCCTTCAAGGGCCTTTCTCTCCCTAAAGGGGACCTAAACTGACCCTTACAGTCTCCTCTCCCCATGGGGAGCTCCCATCTTCTGAGGAGTCTGCAAACAGCCCCAAGCTGCTGAGCTGCCGCCGGCTGCCTGCCTGAGATGAAGACATGAGTTATTTTTGACTGAGATCCAAGCCCAGGCCCTGAATTCTTTTGTCTTCCAGGAATCCCCCAGTTATGTTTGAAGTCTGCAAGTCCGAACAGCGGACACAGCTCAGGGAGGAGACTGCCACTTGGAATCCAACCACCCTCCATCCTGC